TGTTGAAAAGGTTGTTGCAAAGCACGTTCTGTCTGGTCACAGCTTCCCCTGCCTACAACATGAAATGTGAAAAGGATGCTGCCACTTACTCATACCCAAATGTCTCCCGCCTCTCCTCTCACAAGTTGGCTGTCCAACTCCAGAATAGTAAAGCAAAGCTATCACTTATAAAACCCAGAAGGGAAAGGATAAACTTCCAGCTCTGGCCCATTCAGCATGTTTGCTCAAGTTTCAGCCTTCTAAGGACGAGACAGTTATCCATGAGGACAGTAGCACAGGGAGAAACACTGAATAGCCTTGGGGATATGCTTTGCCTAGTTTTCAGCATCCTGAATGATACACACAGTCTTACTAAACTGAAAGGCGTTTTCAGACACACAGCATCAGGAGAGCTTTTCCACCAGAGAACCACCACCAAGAGCAGTGCAGAACAGAAACTCTGCCTAGGGGTCATTTGTTCTAGTGAGAAACAGACAGAATTCAGTCACCGCCTTCTTCTTATGGTCCAGTGGGATGGCATTAAGGAAAAGTTTTAGAATTTGAGAGCCCCCTGGAAATAATCTGCTCTAGGCAGAAGAGCAGGACTGCAGCCAAGGCAGAATCAGGGAGGTGACAGAGTGCTGCATGATGGCTCCAGGCCGCAGCTGGGTTTGGCAGCTAGAGTGCAGAATAGTGGCAAAGGGAATTTTAGAAGCCGGATGAAGAATTAGAGGGACTTGACATGTTGCTATGAAGAAAGAAAACAAGTCTTTGAAATATAACTGTCAGAAACTTGTGAATTGACTCCAACACAAAATTTTTAAGTTTATGAAATATAATTATTTATCCACAACAAAGAAAAGGATTGCAAAACCCTTCTCTGGAAATGAAGAGGTCATAACAAAAATGAAGACAAATTGTTTAGTCAAAAAGTGTAAAGTCAACTAATCTTGCATTTTACTCAACTACTTTGAATCACATATTCAAGTAAAAATTTCATTCCTATAGAATCAACACAACAAAAAGCTAATCACAAAGAAACACCTGGACATTCTGGACAAAACAAATTTGGACTTCATAAATATTTAAATCAAACAAAATGCTGTTACAACCTCCAAAGAGTAACGTAGTATGATCATTCCTTGATCCCAGCAACTCCCTTTCAGATTCTGTGACCAAAGCCAAGAGCAGAGTCGTGGATTTGGTTTTCTATATCAGAGCATTTGTATAAGTGGCATTAAGAAGAAATAGTCAAGCAAACATTGTTTCCTAAGCTCATTTTTCCATAAGTCAAAAATACTTAGCAGAAACATAAAACAAAGTTTACACCCAGTAGGAAACTATTCCTGAAAACTATGCTTATAACTAAGAAAATTTAGCTCTGAATAATTCTCTGCTCAGTTTTATAATTTTTAAAACTATTTTTATAATTTTTTTTAAAGAAAGAGAATCTTTTTTTTTTTTTTTTGGTAGATGGACACAACACAATGCCTTTATTTTTTTTTTATGTGGTACTGAGAATCGAACCTGGGTCCCACCAGTGCTAAGTGAGCGCTCTACCGCTGAGCCACAATCCCAGTGCTCTGCTCAGTTTTTTTTTTTTTTTAAAGAGGGGGGGGATTTTAATATTTATTTATTTATTTTTTTAGTTCTCGGCGGACACAACATCTTTGTTTGTATGTGGTGCTGAGGATCGAACCCGGGCCGCATGCATGCCAGGCGAGCGCGCTACCGCTTGAGCCACATCCCCAGCCCTCTGCTCAGTTTTGATGTATTGCCAAATGCCAATTTCACAAGTGGCACATAAATCAATCATAATACTGAATATTACAGAATCCTCAATTCAGCAGTTAACATTTTCCCTGCACATGGTTAAAATACCATTTAAAGGATTGGTTCCAGTTGGCCAATGATATCAAAAACTTCCTAGGCCAACTGGTGATTAAATGAGACAAGCGGCACCCATTAGAAATGGAGTTTAATTCAAAATACACAGAGTTAGTTGACAGAGCAATGTACTTGGGTTGATATGTTGGAAAAGTCAAGATCCTACAAATTGAGGAATGCCATCCATGGCATTATATAAAAATACCTTAGAAAAGCCTTGTTTTGTCATATAAATGTTAATAGGAAACTTGAGAAAGATTTCTCTGTGACCAAAGATTCAGATTCTGTGACCAAAGCCAAGAGCAGAGAGTCGTGGATTTGGTTTTCTATATTCTATTTCTATATTTGGCTTCTGGCTCCTTATGACATCCCTTTTTCAGATTCTTTGCTGTAGAACTGGCCCACTGTTATTTCAATTATCCATCTTCAAGAAAACGGGAATTTTTATAAATCAGTCCTCTCTCCCCCATTTATTCAGCTATAAAACCACCATTGTTTTGGGCTGATTTACCAAATCCATGTTTTCTGGCACAAATTATTCATAGCACATGAGATAGACTTGCACACTCCCCCTTTGAAAAGGGCTGTGCACTGGAGTTGGCAGAGCGGGGAATGGAGCTGTGGGACTACAGGCAAGCCAGTTTTTCATACTTCACCTTTCCCCACAGAGGGCCCTTCCTAGGTCAAAACGCCATAATTCTAGGCCTCGTTAGACACAGGCTGATTGCAGGCAGTAGCCTCTAGTTGTTCCCAGCCTTAGAAAAGGCAGCTGGCATTTCACAAGTGCTGGGCTTAGAGGGAAGAGGCTGGCTGTGCTGCTGCTGCTGCTGCTGCTGCTGCTGGAATCCCAGGGGGCATTTTTAGATGGGAGAGGGGAGCACTGGCTATAAGCTACTGCAGTCAAGATCCAAATGTCTCTAAAAGCAAGGCCCTCTTCCATTCCTGGAGTCAAGAACCAGGAGTTTCCTCTAGTTTTCATCCATTCCCTCTCTCACACTTGGGAACCCACTTCAAACATTTCAGGGGGACCTCCATTAGTGCTAATGGCTCCTGAAACCACAAACGTCCAAAATGTACACAATGGCCTATAAACCACAGAGCATCTACATATCTTGTGTATACTTCTTATTGTTGTTCCTGCTCATAAGCAGGAACATACTATCTTTCAAATGATTGAATTTGATGCTTTTGGGCTATTTAACTACCAAACAAAACGCACATTTTGGGGGATAAGGTAGGTAAACAGACTCACAGATTGGCTATTCTAGTCAGAGCCAAGCAGTCAAAAGGTATAAGCCTTTCAAAGGTCCGTTCAAATAAGATGTCAAATATTAATTACTAAATAGGCTTCTTTCAACGTATGATGACATTCAGTTTGAGACAGCTTCTGTGTAAATACTTCTCTCTCCAGCCATATGTCACAGAGTGGGACTCTGAAAAAGCCTGGGCACATTAACTATTTTATAATCTCTATTTAATTTGCAAGGTACAGAGTTAATCCCTGTTAGGTTGTAAAACCAATTGTCAAACTTACATAAAGGCTACCCAGCGTGGCAGAGTTCTTCCCAGTGGCTGGGTGCAATTATAGAGAGGGTTACAGTTAACTAACCAACCATGTACTCAGTCAACCCTTCCACTTAAGGCACACCTTCTTCCAAACCCAGTAACCACTCATCTGGAGAAATGAACTCTATTACTTGTACTTGATTTCTTTAAAGAAAGATCCCAAGATGCTGAGGATCTTGCTAGATTAGATTGCCAAGTCTGTCCTTGAACTTGTGATCCTATCTCAATCTCCTGAGTAGTTGAGATAGAAACATATTTAAAGAAGAAATCTTTAAGGGTTGGGGATACAGCTCAATTGGTAGAGTGCCTACCTTGCATGTACAAGGCCCTGGGTTTGATCCCCAGCACCAAAGGAAAAAAAATCTAAAATTATGAATAATATCTAAATTTATATGATAAACAGAGCTTTGCCAGTTCAATTGAGTTTCATATACAACATTTAGCTCCTTATTGACCCTCCACATACTTCTCCAATAAAGATGTCTGATGCAAAATTCATAAAGCCCAAATGGGAACCTGTTCTATCTGTTGAAGCAACTATTAGTGATATGTTCAGTTTTTTTTTTTATCAGTTAGTATATCACCATTCTTATATTGGCATTAAAGATGAATCTGGATTTTTAAATTTTATCACATTAAACATATTTTCTCTAAGACTTTTTGAAATTTTTTTGGCACTGGGGATTGAACTCAGGGTTGCTTAAATACTGAGTCATATCCCCAGTCCTTTTAAATTTTGAGACAGGGCTTTACTAGGTTGCCGAGACTGGCCCCAGTAACTGGATTTACAGGCATGTGCCACTGTGCCAGCGTCTCTAAAAACTTTGGGTTTGACTTTCATGATTACCTAAGGTTCAGCAGCGGTACTCTAAGTGCATCCCTCTTCCTTCTTTAGTGGATATTTGCTGATTAAGCCGTTGAGAAGGAAAAAGAAGAAATTCCTTCTTGTACAAAGAAGGGAACTAGCAGACCAGGTGGTACGTGCAGCATGCCAGCTGTTTACATCTCTCTCTCTGACTTCTGAGAAATGATTCTATATTGGGAACTAATTACATGGATAAAGTAATATTCTTAGAATTTGGGGATAAGCCTAGTACTTTAGCACAAAGAAATGAATGTCACATTTTTCAATTTCAAGTCCGAAATTGTGCTGGGGATGGAACCCAGACTTTGAGCATGTTAGACTAGCACTTCACCACGGAGCCACAAACCCATACTCTATTCCACTTTTAGTTTCTTCTCTTGATTTATACTATAAGCTCAATAGAGTATCACACAACACTTTGCACAAAGTCACTTTAGACAGTGCTACATAAATGCCTAAACATCAGTGCATTGAAACATGCCACACTGACACTTCTGGGAACTGCAGTAACTATATAAGGCTCAGCTATGTTTCAGAAAGTTGCCCATCCTGAAAACAGCTTAATATTTTTTAAAATGTAAAAATAGTTATATGACCAAAGCGTCAGGGTGTGGATTTCCTTACTGCTCCCAGTATTAAGAAAAAATAATGATGTTCTATAATTTGTAATATTTCAAATTTGATAGAAAGTAGCAACCCTAAATTCAGACATTCTCCTTCTGGAGACAAGGAAGTGGGAATATATTTATCTTACTAAATATGGATCACAAAACAGACTCTTAATTTTCATTTATCAGTCATGATATGTAAAAGAAAAACATTTATAGAAACACAAAAAACAAAAACTCCTTTAAACTACATTAAAAACAAAGGTAAAAAAAACCAGAATAAAATCATTAGTACAAATAAAAATAATGTTAAATATCAATACTTACACACCAAAATGGACAGTTAGCATAACAAAGCTATCGAGTCCCTTAGGATGAGCAAAGCGCCACTGTGCGCCGCCCCTCCCCCCTCAGGTTTCCACCCTTTTCACACTGGGGTACCAGTGCAGGAGGCTCCTGGACGTGGCCAGGCGCGCAGCAGCTCCCAGGGCAGCTGTGGCTGTACTTCGAGGAATGTAGAGCTTGTGAGAAATCTTGTGCTCAGGAGACAAAATCAAAGACAGCTGGTCCATGGCTCCTTGACTCTTTTCCTTGAACACTGCGATGGCGTGGCGACTAGAAAGATCTTCGTTCTTTAGGCTCCCTGGAGAGCTCTCCACTAAAAAAAGAGAAGACAAGTCTTTTCACTGCCCTCTCTCCTCCACTCTAGTTCTCTACTAACAGGTACTACAGTCATCGTCTGTTAGGTGACGACAGTTACCCAAGGCCAGTCAGGGACGTTGAGATTCAGAAATCAGCCGCCAGACGGAAAGGAGATAGGGTGGGGAATCATACCTTGGGATCAAATTGTCAGGATAAAGAGAGGGGAAAATGAACTTATGAACCAGGAAGGGAAGACTGGTTTCCAAGAATTTCATAAAAGTAAACTCAGATCCCAGAGAAGAGACCATAAGCTCTCCCATTTCCTTCCAGCCCTGAGTACCACAGTGTATCACAACTTGCCACCAGCGTGCTCTGTTGCCAGGTCTGTGCCAGTGTGAAAGCAAAATGGTTGCTAAGCAGAACCAGAGCCAGTTATCAGCCATAAAATGACTGTTGTAGGCTTTAGATTTAACTTAGAAGTAATCCTTTGGAAAAAATAAAACTGAGGGAGCTCCAATGCCCAGAGTTCCCAGTAGCTAAGGAAGCAGGTACAAGCTAGACCAGTGCTGCCCAAAGTAACTGGTCCATGACTGTTGACTGCCAGCTACTATGATTGAAGTGGCTTTTGTTGGTGTCTAAGCCAACCTGCTGCTTCCTTCAGAAAAGTCCTGCTTAAAAAAAAAAAAAAATCAGGTGAGCTAAACAGTACTCAGCAATGCAGTGTAGATTCTGGCACAACTTCTTTACTGTCTTGTCTATCATTACAAACATTTCACCGACTGGCACTTAGTTACTTGGGTTAGGTAAAGATTTCTAAATAGGACACACAAAGCTCAGATTATAATGAAAAAAAAAATAACTAAATTAGACAATCAAAATGTAAGCCTTTGCTCTTCTAAAGTCACTATTAAGAAAATGACACTTAAAAAAAGACATGACACAAACTGGAGGAAATATATGTATGCTATATAGAGATATAGATCTGATAATGGATTTATGTCCAGAATAAAGAACTCGTTTACAAGTAGATAAATCAATATTAAAAACAAATACTTGAACAGCCACTTAAGAAGATATATGAATGGCAAATTAGGCAAAAAGGTGGTAAATAGGAAAACACAAATTAAAATTACCATAACAGGTCTGTAAGCAGGAAAATACCATCTGCTAGTGAAGATTGGAGCTATCAGAACTTTTAAACCTTCACAGGTGAATGCAAACTGTGCAGCCACTTTAAAAGCATTTTGGCAGTTTAAAAAGTTAAACATGCAGTCACTATACATCCTAGCAAATCCACTTTTTTGTAAATACTGAATGGAAATAACATAAAAACTACATAAGTAGAGCTGAAGTGTGGGTCAGGGGCAGAGTGCTTGCCTAGCATGCATGAGCCTCTGAGTTCAATCCCTAGTACTGAAAAAAAAGTTATGGTAAGTAAAAGAAGCCAGACATAAAACCTACATACTATGTAACACAGGAAAGGGAAAGTGACATGCCAGAGCCTAGCAAGTTAGTGGAGGGATTGACTGCAAAGGGGCATTAAAAAACTTTTCACGATGGTGAGAATGTTCTATATGATTGTATATTTTGCCAAAACTCAAAAGAATCATAACCTTAAAAATTCATAATTTTTATTCTATATAAATGTGAAGTCCCTCCAAAAATCATCAGTGGGGAAAAAAAGAATGGCATAGATAATGGGAACAACAGAGACAAATCCTATAGTCAGCAATGCTCAAGTATGGTCTGACAGAGGTAAAAGAAGGTTTTCAGCAACATGGCCAAATATCATGTGCCAGTGGTGAGGATACAGGAGCGCATGTGCACCTACCAGAACCAGAGTGCTCTCCTGGGTCGTCGGCTGCGACAGTAGCTGAGCTGGCTGCTGCTGTGGGCAGCTGAATTTGCTTTGTTGGAGTCTGGATGTTGTTAGGCTCAAACTGACTCCCTTCTGCTGACTGCTGTGACTGGAAAAGGGAGATGTAGAACTCTTCCAGTTTGGGCAGTGTGGAAGAATCCAAAGAACCTTTCAAGTTTGGTTGCTACAAGATAGAAACAATGAGGCAAAGGTATGAAAAGTGACTGTTAGCATAACAGGAATTAAGCCCTTTTTGTTTCCTTATATACAAAATATATATCATAATTAATAAGTAAAATACCTCACTTTCAATCTAGGTAGTCTCTAGAAACATCAAGCCCTTCCTTCCTTAATCTGATGAGTATCAACTTAAGAAACCTTTATTATATTTGGGCAACCATGGTATGAAGCGACCACACACAGCTGGGGAGGATGGGCAGGATGTGAGAAATGACATTCACTGCACACTTGATGTTTGGCACTGTGGAAGGTTGTTTGCATGTGTTTTTTTCATTTAAAACATCAAGAACCACCTTTCTAGGTAGGTGTAATCTTTCACTTACCCTAATGCTTTTCATAGAGGAGTTATTTGATGTCCATCATTCTCTGCAGATGGGAAAACTGAAGCCTCCAAAGGTAACTTGTGCTTTACTGGCTAGGGAGATAGAGATTGGCCTCAAACCCTAATCTATATCCCCTTAGCCAGTAAAGCTGCCTGCCACTTTATGCCTGGACCTTATTTCCTGTGCTGGATGTAGAAAATGCCTTCCACTAAAATGCCAGCAGAATAGGGGACCCACCTCTTGTTCTGAAATCCTGCTGACTTGTTTGTTCCCAAGGGCTTTCAAGCAGGTCTGAAGGGGTCACAGAGGATCTAATAATCTGTTTACAAATCTCCTTCAAGTATTGGCCAAGTCCTAAACTGCACAAGCAAAGTATGAGATTCTGAGAAACCCAACAGGAAACAGCAGCCAGGAAGCTAAACAAGATCAGCAGACACTTCAGATCCTGTGGTGGGGTCAGAGTCCCTCCCAGGAAGGGATCAAACAACCAACCAGGCTTTCAGAAGGCCTGCCCAAAGGATGACGCTTTAGACCAAGAGCCACAAAGGATTAAGAATAGAGCATTCTAACAAAGCCCCAACCAAGAACCAATGTGTATGCTAAGGTGATTTACTAGTATCTGCTAGCCAAATGACAACAACCCTCTTTGGAGGAAAATAACTTAACCCAGAGCTTTTTAATTTTTTTGCATAATATCCAACATTTGATTTGAAAAAATCATATGAGATATGCTTCCTTCTTCCCTCTACCCCATTGCTAAAAACAGGATTAAACAGAGAGGGAAAAGAGAGTAAGAACAGAATCAGAGGCAATTCAGATATTCAAACTATCTGAAAGGGACTTTAGCATAACATGATTAACATGGCCAGGACTAAATGATAGACCAAACACATCAACATATGAAAAATCTAAACAAAATGTATAAAAAAATCAAATGGGCATTTTCATACTGAAAAATAATGTCTAGAATCCTCTAGAATGAAGCACTGCCAATCAAAACAAACAAAAAACAAACAAGATAAGAGAGCCCCACAGGAGATTCAGTCAGAAGTTCTAGCATCTTATAGCTGAATTCCCTTAGGAAAGGAGAAAGACAATAAGCAGTAGAAACAGCTGTTAAGATAAATGGGCCCAAAATTTCCAGAACTGAAGAATGAGCAACTCTGGTGAACCAAAGTGGGATAAATCCAAAGGATCTACTTATACATTCAGACATATCATCATCAAAGAGCTGAGATGCAAGTCAGAAAGAAAAGAAGGCATGATCTTCAAAGGTGCAATGATAACTCACATTTCAACAGAAGCCAGAATACAATGAAATGGCCACTTCAAATAGTTCAAAGAAAGTGCCAACCTAAAATTCCACACTTAGGGGAAAAGTTCATATAAATGAAGGTGAAAAAAAAACCCCCAAAACCCAACAAAAATTCCTGAGAAGATCTGCTGATAGTAGACATACCCTACCAGAAACAGGAATCATGAGCACCAGGAAGGCACACATGTGGTCAAACATATATGAATCCTGAGTGCTTAAAACATATGCCACCGTGTGCTGAATTATACTATAGCAACACAGAACACCGGTCAAAAAGAAAGATTTAATTTTCTTCTCCATAGAGAAAAGTAATCATTAAGACTTGCTCACAGATTCCAGATGAAAATTCACACACACACACACACACACACACACACACAAAAAAAAAAAAAAAAAAAAAAAAAAAAAAAAAAAACCATAATTATGTAGGTAACTGTCACAAATTTCTCAATCACCCTCTAGAAGGCCCAAATAAACTTACTTTTGACTAGATTTCAACTTACTGTCACAAACCCTACTACTTCCATCCCATGTTGGAGCTGGGCTTTCTCCCTCCTTCCTTCTCAGGTTTAACCCAGTACTCCAGGGCCTGTGCAGCTGTCCCATCATCCTCAGAGGCCTTTGCTGCTGCTGTCCCATCTAGGCTGTTATGCCCTTCAAATTTGCTTCTTGGTCTAAGTGGAGCTCCTTGGCAGGAAGGGTGATCAGGAAAAGTGTTTCTTTTGAAATTCTTGGTGGGCCACTTACACCACATCCTTGAGCCCTGGCAACATTCCACTCACTCCTGAAGCCCCCTCTAGACATGTGGGAGTGTACCATTCTCCCAAATGCCACTAGGGATCCACAAGAAACCTGAGGGTAGCTTCAGGTTCCTCTCGTATCGTGCAATTGTGTCTAATGTATACCTGGTCCACTTCATACCCCTGTGAAAACTCTTTGGGGAGAACGTCTGAGGAAGAAGTTTCTACAAACACCCTATATTCATCTACTCAGTCACTCTCATGACAGGAGGGCTTATCAGTTGATAGAAGTCTGACAACTACTAGTCCATATTTCCTTGCTGGGCAGAATTCATGTACTAAAGGTTACTACTCTAGTGTGAGTCTAGCTCTCACTGCTTGACTCATGGGTCAATAAGGACAGGGTGGGTCTCTGCTTCCTCTCTCCCATGCCGTTAGCAGAATGAAGCTGCTCTGCTTGCAGCTGGGCGAGTTTAACTCAGAGAAAAGAATAGTCTGAGGTCTAAACTATTTTTCCAAATCCAAATTTGCTATGAATGAAGCTAGTTTTTTAAATTCTCCTGTAGACTGTTTTCATGTGTGTAAAACAACGTAAAAGGGAGAAAAAGGAGGACAGATAGATATGCACAGGACATCCAACTCCAAAGAGTTACTGAGAATAAACACATGACAACATACCTGCTGCTTTATAAACATTTTACAAGTACAAAGACAAGTACATTCAAAAGGATGCATAGCTGAGGTGGTACTTGACGGCCTGGGCCACACTGTCTTCGTTTAAATTCCAGCTCTGCACTCACTAGCTTTATATCACTCACCTAATTTCTTTAAGCCTCAGTTTTGTTATCTATAAAATTAATAATAGTATTTGCCTCACAAGCTTTCTGTGAAAATTGAGTTAACATAGACAAAGGCCTTAGAACTGTGTCTGTTATTATTATTCTAGAAGGACATTCAAATAGAAGTATCCTTTTACAGTTAAAGAAAAGGGGCACAGTACAAGCCAGACATCAGCAGCTAAGTGCTGGAATTGGAGTTTTCAGGCTTAAACTTTTGATATGCAAGATGCTATTACAGTTTTGCACTTGTGTTCTAGTAAGCCAAGCAGAAACAAAAATCCGTAAGTTGTCTGCCAATGTAATACTCCAGAGTTGGTCTAAGCTTATGGTCCCCTCCCTAAAGACAATGTTTCTCATATTCTTATTTTTACAGCTCTAATTCATCATTGCTGTAAGTAAAGAGGATACAAAGACAAGATGCTTGTTGTGAATATACCTTCACTGAAGGTGCAGTGGCAGAAATGGGAAAACCCTATCTTGACTATAGCCTCCCTATACTGAACAGTTTTGGTTTTTTTCCACCTAGGACTGAAACTAAGGACTTGCATGTGCTAAACAACACACTCTCTACCACTGAGTTACACTTCCAGCTCCCTTTCCTTTTTTTTAGAGGAAAAGTTTTAAAATGTTTGATTTCCTCTTTCTTGATACTGGCAACAGTCTTAATTTTGCATCTCTTCCATTTTAAGAAATAGGACTCCAGAGAGGAGCTCTTTTCTTCCAAAATATCCTTTTCCCATTCCATATTTTATTCCAACATTTTATCTTTAACCCCCCATATGCCCAAGATCAAGTTAAGCCTTATTTTGCGGCTAGAGATGGAATTGCTCATAAGAAAAAAAACACTCCTGTAATCCCAGCAATTTGTGAGGTTTAAGCAGAAGGATCACATTCAAAGCCAGCCCTTAGCAGTTTAGCTCAGTGCTCTACCACTGAGCCACAACACCAACCCCTAAAAATATACTTTTTTAAAAGTTAAAAAACAGTTCTATCTTCAAAATGATAAATATGGCAAGTACTCTGCTGTCTTAAAATAGGGATAGAAAAAAAGGGTACAGAACACGTTCTCAAAAAGAAATAACACAAGTTCGTTCATTAAGTATAATAGCATTTAAGATGCTATTACACTATCACATGACACAGTAATGAATTACTTAACCTTTGACAATGCTCTTTCTTCATGGAAGCTATAATGCTAAACAAAACTACATGAGAAAAAGTTTGATAACTCATGCTTCCAAATCACAAAACACTAAAAAGCTAATATAATCAAGGTAATCAGTTACTGGTATAGCAATAGACACACAGAATTGAGAGCACAGAAATAAACATTTAAGGTCAATTGGGGTTTTTTAAAAAATATATTTTTAGCTGTAGATGGACACAATAACTATTTACTTATTTATATGTGATGCTGAGGATTGAACCCAGGGCCCCTTACATGCTAGCAAGTGCTCCATCACTGAGCTACAACCCCAGCCTTCAATCAAGTTTTGATATGGGTGCTAAGATAACACAAGGGGAAAGAATATATAGTTCTGGGACAAATAAATTTCCACATGCAAAAAAGTGAAGGTGGACTTTTATCTCACACCATGACAAAATTTTTCTCAAAATGGATTAAGGGGGGCTGGGGATGTGGCTCAAGTGGTAGCGCGCTCGCCTGGCATGTGTGTGGCCCAGGTTCGATCCTCAACACCACATACAAATATGTTGTGTCTGCCGAA